GGAGGACTACGAATCTTCTTGTTTTCCTCGGTCAATCGCCTAATTTCCAAATTCGCCAACCTCAATTCTTCCTTAAGCTGTTGGTAAAGTTGCTCGATGGAGGGCATCTTGCTTCAATTCTAGAGAGCGCGCAAACAGGCTTTTCACAGAGCCAAGTACACGTCAACACTGCGCAAATGCCAACTCAATCAGGAGCTACTGCGCAGCACGTCCGCACGGCCCAATAGTTAGAAGTTAATACGTGAAACCGGACTGTGAAGTGAGGCGGGAAGGAGTGTGTGAAATAACTGAAATAACTGAAAGGGGTGTGTGAAGTTAAGGGAAAAGTGAGCAGTGAAGAGGGTTTTGAAAAAGAAAATTTACTAGTAATTCAGTGGCGATTGCTAAAGCAGATACTAGGGTGTACTAGGTGACTGGAAAAGAGAAATAAATATTGTTGTATATGAGTAAAAGAGCGAAGAGTGAAAATGGCAGGCATTAGGGGGGTACAGGCTGCCATAATTATATGTATTTTTTCCCCCTTGCAATTCCATGAAGATAGAAATCAGTCAGGGGGGCTTAAAAGGGGCGAATGGATTTAACAGCCCCCGGGACAGTAAAAGCCCGACAGTTGCCATCCTACCAGAAACATAAATGTCACTATCGCCGCAAGGTATGACAACACCGCATACCCAAACAAAAACAGTGGCACACAGCTCTTATTGTAGCGCTCTTAAGTGGTGATATCCAAATTAATCCAGGACCTCAAACTATTGTGCAGAGGCAAAACAGACAGATAAATGACGGTGTTAATGACGGTCTAGTAACTGGGAATGATAACCTTAACTCCATATGTAATGCATACATAGGTCAATGTGAGACAACACAGCCATTCTTATCTCAAACACCACCAAACAGGTGCATACACTGTACTAAAGTACGCATGAAAAACAGAAAAGGTACCTTATGTAAAATGTGTAAGGGGTGGGTGCAGGATGGATGTATGTACAATTATAGCAACGGTGCCAGAATTCATTTTGTGTGTAACAAATGCACTTTGGCAGTTACCCTTTAGCAGTGATGACATTGATTTACCTAATTTTAATACAAATGACCCATTGCCATATATTGATGATTATAATTTTTTTATGAAAACACTTTATTCATGTCAACGCAAGATCACTTCTTCCAAAACTGGCAGAGATTAGGATTCTAGCTAAGAAAATTAGGGCGGCAGTTATATCCAACTCTGAATCCTGGTTGGATGATGCGGTGACTGACGACGAGGTCAAAATAGAAGGTTACAATATAAAACGCTTAGATAGGAACAGAAAGGATGGTGGAGTATGTGCCTACATTAGAAATGACTTAGCTTACAACCCAAGACCTGATTTATATAACAATAAACTGGAGAATCTATGGTTTGAAGTGCTGCTTCCCAAGACCAAACCCATCTTAGTAGGAACTAGTTACCGCCCTCCTACCCAGGACCAGTTCTTAGAAGACTTTTCCAGAGTCTTGTCCGGAGTTGAAAACAATTGCGAGACAATAATACTGGGAGACTTCAATATCTGTTTTCAGCAGCAAAATAACGGGCTATGCAAAAGATGCAAACAAATTCTAGGTTTAAATACACTCAACTAATTAATACACCAACCCGGATCACGCAGTTCTCCAGCCACCCTAACTGCCCCACATACTTTGTAACCGCTCTGAAACATTAGTCAGTCAGGCGTCATTACCACAGGTCTTAGTGATCATTCATCATTTACTGCACTAGGAAAATCACTAGGGATAGGACAGGCCTACACAGGACAATAAAAATGAGGTCAACTAGAAACTACAGTGAAGAAACACGGTAAATAGGCTACAAAATTTGGGTGACTGGACAGAGATAACAAGTTGCACCGGACGTAAACGATGCCTGGAAAAATTCAAAACAATGTTCACTACCATCCTTGATAATATTGCACCAGTTAAAGAGGTCAGGTTTAAAACGAAGAACTGAACCCTGGATGACTACTGAGATATTAGATAATATGAAATTCAGAGACCAGTTGCTAAAAAGATTTCAAGCAAACAGACAGGATATTGCAGCACTAAATAAATTCCAAAGGGTGAGGAACAGAGTACAGAGACTTATAAAAGGAGCAAAGGCAAAGCACTACTGCTCAAAAATTGAAGAGTATAAGCATAACCCCAGAAAGCTCTGGCAACAACTAAAACAGTTTGGGGTATAGCCATAAACCGTAAATAGGTCTAACATAGTACTTTACATCGATAACGAGGTATGCCACGAAACATCTAAGGTGGCAAATTGCTTTAATTCCTACTATACATCTGTTGCATCAACACTAGTAAGTAAACTACCAGTTGCATCAAATACCTTTAACACAGACTCTGATAAGTTTCAAACATATCATACCAGTAAAGGGGTAACCCCAAACAGTTGTCAACTAGTAAGTGTATCTCATGACTTTATTCAAAAAGAACTAAGCAGGTTAAACCCAACTAAGAGCACTGGCCCGGATAACATCCCGTCTAAGTTCCTAAAAGATTCAATTGTCAATCCCTATTGCTCACATAATAAATCTATCGCCACTAATACCGTACCGGAGGGGTTCAAGGAGGCCAGAGTTACTCCTATCTTCAAGAAAAATAGTAGGTCTGATGTAAGCAACTATAGGCCTGTTAGTATACACAGTATCCAAAATTCTAGAGAGGGCGGTGTACTCTCAAGTAGTTAAGTACTTTAATGACAACAACATTCTCCATAGCTATCAATCGGGTTTTAGAAGATTTTACTCAACCGACACCTCCCTAATTAATCTGATGGATTACCTGAGAACTGAAATGTCAAAGGGGAACCTCATAGGTATGGTAACCTTAGACCTGCAAAAGGCCTTCGATACTGTCACCCACAATATATTATGTAAGAAACTTCAAGCTATCGGTATAGGTTCTGTAGAATGGTTTAAGCACTACCTTAGCAACAGGAGACAAATTGTCAAAATCAACAAAACGGAATCAGAACCCCTGCCGATAGCATGTTATGTCAATGACATGCCTATCAGTGTCAAGAGCAAACTCCTACTGTATGCAGATGACAGTGCTCTGTTAGTGTCAGGTAAAGACCCACAAGATATAGCTAATGTATTAACACGGGAACTGGAGTCCTGCAGCAAATGGTTAGTAGACAACAAACTATCATTACACCTCGGGAAAACTGAAGCCATTCTCTTTGGCACGAAACATAAACTGAGAAGGGCAAATAATTTTAATGTCCAGTGTAATGGGGAGCCCATCACTTTAGTTTCATCAGTAAAATATCTGGGAATCCCCTTTGACCCATGCATGTCAGGAGAATTGACAGGGAATAGTGTAATAAAGAAAGCGAATGCTAGACTGAAGTTCCTCTATAGACAAGCACAGTGTCTACCTACTGAGGCTCGCAGGACCCTATGTCTAGCTCTTATACAGTGTCATATGGATTACGCTTGCTCTTCATGGTACTCTGCCTTGACAAAAAAAACTGAAAGATAGACTGCAAATCACCCAGAACAAAATTGTAAGATTGATCCTGGGGCTGGGACCAAGAGAACATGTAGGCCAGAATGAATTACAGCAGTTGCATATGCTGAATGTTGAAGACAGAGTAAAACAACTGAAGCTAAATCATGTTTATAAAATTGCTCACAGTGTCCAGAATATCTTGCTGTCAATTTTTGTCAAGGTTGGGGAAACCCAAAACAATCAGAGTACTAGGGGGAGAGAGCACAACTTTGTAGTACCCACAGTCAGTGGCCAGGCTTCAAACACCTTTTATTGTACAGCAATAAAGGAATGGAACAGACTGCCTGCACATGCCAAAGCCAGTCATAGCATGAACCAGTTCAAGAAGAGTGCCAAAAGGTGTCTGATGAATGTAGCTACAGAAAGGGAGGAGAATGATTTTTTATTTTTTAGCTAACACACGTGTAAATTTTACCTTATCCCTAGTAATGACCCTCGTGTAGTAGATAGTCTTTTTAGTATGATAATAAGATGTTATCTTCATTATAGAATAATAAAAAAATGCTATAACCTTTATATTATAATAACAAGGTAAAAGGACCCCAATGGAAATAAGTCACTCTGACATTTTTTGGGATATCCCAGGTTCTCTACACATATACTGCTATGTATGATAATTCTATGTAACTGTATTTGTGTATACCTGAATAAACTTACTTACTTATTCGAGTAATAATCTCCAACATTTCATTTACCTCTCGATTTTCTTTTTTATCGAATACAAATCTCACATTTTTTCTACGCGTTTCCCAGTCATTGTTTATTGCCTCTGGGTTAACAACTGGATGAGAGGTTTGGCTGAAAAACCGGTGCATAACGGCAGTTAGTCTAACTTGTCACATGAACCTGCATCCTCCTTCCCCTACATCTCCACTACTTAATGAAGGTGATGAGGTTGCCGCTGCCTCAGTATGTTAATTAAGAACCACCAACTCGTTTTCGGCTTAAATAGAAGACAGATTTTCCCTTTCGTCAAAATTTGTTGTGGTACTGACTGAAAATTAGTTCATTCTTTATTAACTACAATGTGGTTAAATCTTTAGCATGACTATATTAATTACGATAGGAAAATAAACTGTATATAGAAGAAAATTAAGATAGTTGACCCTTGATAATGCTGTCTGCAAAATAATGAATTTAGGAACAACATTCATGGAAGCACTGACTTATATAACAGTTCTAATGCTGTGTAAATAACCCAACCTGACAAATATAAACTGACTGGATAAACTCAGCAAGTTCCTGCCTGCGCGAGTGCATACCTCCAAGACTGCATTCATGCCCAAGTGCATGGGAAGGTGTATAGGCGTGATACAGAAACATGTTCCAAATAGAATCTTCAATAATTTGGAATACGAATGAGAGAAAAGAGGGTGGACTAAGAAATATGTGGAAAACTGCTACTTTCACTGAGAAACATAAAATCTAATACACAGTACCATTAAAACTCTGGTAAAACTTACTGATTTATCGTTGACGTTGAAAACTCTGCAGGATAGTACCGCCGTCTTGCCCGACTGTATCGTAATGTTTCTTGGCAGGTTACGGTCAAAGCTGGGACCTGGCGGAGGCCCGAGAGTGGCGTCCTCCTGCGGCTCCTCCAGGAATCTTGCATCTCCGTAAGAGGCAGCTGGGGTGTGGCTGCCTCTCACTGCTATAAAGCGCCGCTCCCCGCCTTCCTCCTCCACACCAAACATATACCCGCCGCCATAACCAGCCTGTGAACTCGACCGACGCTGTTTGATGGGCGAGTCGATGGTGTGGTGGTTGTGTGATGTGGTGTCGTGTGGTGGTGGCTGCGGCTGTTGCTGGAAATGGTGGTGATGGTGATAGTGTTCGTGCGGGTTCAGCCGATGGTGATGGTTGTAGTTGTGGTTATTCACTTCCAAGTAAGGCTTGGCGTAGGGAAGTTTGGGAAAGAAGCGACCTGTCGAGAGACAGAGAAAAAAAATATCATGGTTATTTTGGGGGAATCCAATTGAAAAATAATTTATAGCGGAAAGTGAGGAGAGATTGTTATGGTAACACTGGGACGTATTTGTATAGCCTGAAATAAAGATATTGAAAACACATTAATAATTTGGAAATGTACCTGAGAAGATGAAGATGCGAGTCACCCACTCAAACAGACACACAACACACACCACACACACACACACACACACACACACACACACACACACACACACACATACACAACACACACACAGGAGCTGAGTCTCGACCCCTGCAACCTCAATTAGATGAGTACACACACACACACACACACACACACACACACACACCCACACACACACACACACACACACACACACAGGAGCTGAGTCTCGACTCCTGCACCACAATTAGGTGGGTACACACACAGATACGCACACAGACAACAGCGAGTCATTGTACGTGGAGAGGTGTCAGAGTGGGCGCCGGTAACGAGCGGGGTCCCACAGGGGTCAGTCCTGGACCAGTGCTGTTTTTGGTATATGTGAATGACATGATGGAAGGGATAGACTCTGAAGTGTCCCTGTTCCCAGATGATGTGAAGTTAATGAGGAGAATTACATCAAATGAGGATCAGGCAGGACTACAAAGAGACCTGGACAGGCTGGACACCTGGTCCAGCAACTGGCTTCCCGAATTCAACCCCTCCAAATACAAAGTCATGAAGATTGGGGAAGGGCAAAGAAGACCGCAGACAGAGTATAGGCTAGGTGGGCAAAGACTGCAAACCTCACTCAAGGAGAAAGATCTTGGGGTAACCATAACAACGAGCACGCCTCCGGAGGCACACATCAACCAGATAACTGCTGCAGCATATGGGCGCCTGGCAAACCTGAGAATAGCGTTCCGATACCTTAGTAAGGAATCGTTCAAAACACTGTACACTGTGTAATCTGGCCCATACTGGAGTATGCAGCACCAGTTTGGAACCCACACCTGGTCAAGCACGTCAAGAAATTAGAGAAAGTACAAAGGTTTGCAACAAGGCTAGTTCCGGAGCTCAGGGGAATGTCCTACGAAGAAATCTTGAGGGAAATCGGCCTGACGAGACTGGAGAACAGAAGGGTCAGGGGAGACATGATAACGACATACAAAATACTGCGTTTGAACAGATAAGGTGGACAGAGACAGGGTGTTCAGAGATGGGACACAAAAACAAGAGATCACAATTGG